AAGTCTCATGGGATACAGGTCCTTTACCCACAACAATTGGAGGCCACAAGTATATCCTGATAGTAACAGACATCTTTACTAAGTGGGTTGTGGCGTATCCACTTCAGGCCACAGATTCTAAGACCTTGGCTAATGTTTTTTTGAATGAAATAGTCTGTTGTTATGGTGTTCCAACAGTATTGCATAGTGATCAATGAGCTAACCTCACTTGCTCTCTAATCACCAACATGTGTATATATTGGTTATCAACTGTACTAAGACAACAGCTTACCACCCACAGGGAAACGGTCAGGTTAAGAGATTTAACAGAACCCTCAAAACTATGCTATCTAAAGTAGAAGCAGAGAATCAGGCTGATTGGGATACTCACCTTCCAATGCTCCTAATGGCTTATTGCACTGCTATTCATGAAAGCACTGGTTTCATTCCATTTCACATTCTTTTTGGCCACTCTCCAAAGTTGCCTGTGAATACAATATTACAAGGACCAGCGGAGGATGAACCTAGCTCATACCCTCATTATAGCACTGCTTAAAAAAAGTCTTTCATCACACTTTTTGCAAGGTACGGGAATCAAGTACTCAAGCACATATAAAGCAGAAAATGCAATACAATAAGAAAATACATGACGTCCACTTAAAAATAGGAGAACCGGTATATCTTCTTACACCTGCTGTTAAACAGGGTCTGAGTCGCAAATTGTGCTCACCATAAATGGGTCCGTATAACATTGTCAATCGTATCAGTCGCTATATTGTGAGGATTTTGCTAGTGGGAGGAAGGAAGAATTTGGTTGTTCATATTAACAGGCTGAAGCCATATAAATGTATTCCTTATCAGTCAGTGGGGTTTCAGAGTCAATTCACACCTACTGATACCATGACAGTAACAGAAAAAACAAGCGGTTATGTCTGTCTGGATGAAGAGGAGATGGAAGTTAAGGACGAAGGAACTATAGGTACTTCAGTAGCACAGGGTCGACCGCAATGGAGACACAATTTACCAGATTGGTACAGAATGTACAATACTCATTAATTTGCACATACACTATTAAAAAACTGTTCAACTATTTAGCAAGTTATGTTTATATGGTGTTTAACAGACTAAGGGGGAATGATGTAATGTTATTATTATGATTAATATCATTGTTATTATAATTATGACTGTATTTATCATGCTGTTATTAATGTATTATAATTTGGTGGGTGGAGCTTGTTGTCATGCATCTTTCCATGATTATTCCTTTCTTCTGTTTGTTTATTCGAATAAGAGATTACTTTTGACAACACTGTCAATCTTACCACATTACAGAACACACAAGTGAAGAATCAAAAAAGAGGGTTAAAAAAGAGGGAGTTAGAAAAGAGATATGGCTTTATGAGGGCACAGAAAAATATGTGCAAAAGTAAAAAGATGCGGAAGACAAAGAGATTGATGCTTGTAGAAGAGAAGGAAAGACTTCTTAATGAACTAAAGAGAAATAATGGTCCTCTAATTTGCTCTCAACCAATTGCCCGTGTGTCCATGCATCAGTACGCAACAGCAACACCCACTATTAATCATCTGCATTAGCTATTATTACTTGTCATTGAGTATCAGTTGTCAGCCATTGCAGTAGTACATCTGCATTACTCTCAGTTTACATAACACTACTAGCATGAACAGCACTACATGCAAGCAACTGTTAAAGTTAACTTGCAAGTGGCAATGAACATTGTCAAGACATCTACATCTAGTACCAGCACTAATTTCCTCTCTCACTATTGAACAATTTGCTGATAAAGTTTAATCTAAAGTGACAATTAAAAACAATGAGCACTGCCTGTTGAAGTAGTATAATAAACAAGCACATTTATGATATTTTAATAAAAAATCAGTAAGGGTAGAGAGTGAATTTACAAGTACATTTTGTATAAGAGAGTAGATAATAAGAGGATAAAGGAAGTGCTTGTCACATGTATGAAGGAATCAGTGTCAAATTAAGAGTAGATTAAGGTAGAGAGGTTAAAAATTGTTGAATTTACAGTATTTAAACTAGTGGTTGTACATACTGACTTATCTTTTTATCTTTTTGAGGAGGTGGCGATAGCTGATGCTGTTAATTACTCCATATGAGATGTGTCTTTCATAGGTGGTTCATCTGTTGCCTCCTGAAGGCTAAGCAGACATATATCATCTTTTTTTCTTCTTAAGATATCTATCATTAGCAATGCTCATGAGTCTTTGGAGGGGAAATGGTGGCATAAACAGAATATCCCTCCACTTTCTCAATCTTGAGCAGGCAACAAATATCAGTCCACATAAGAACACCCTTTTTCCTACATCAATGACCACTTTGTCCAGAGTGAGTTCCTGGGACTTGTGGATTGTCACTGCCAATGCCAGCTTGAGTGGTAGTTGAAGGCATGAACATTGACCACCTGCAGAAGACCAATTACGACCAATTGGCGTGACACTGTGATGTCATGCACTGTTGGTCGAGTGTTATGATCAAACTGTACCGTCCCAGCCACTGGTAGATGACGAGATGTGGTTTCCCTGTAGCAGATAGCTTCAACTGTTGCCATAGCTTTATTAACTAGTCTGACTTTAACCCACAAGTTGCCTAGTCAGCATTACTCTAGCTGTTCGTGCTAAAATGACAACTTTTTCCAAGCCACCAGCATCATCAGGAGATGCACTGCTTGCATTAGCTCCAATGTGTATTGCCTTGTTGGAAGCGATTGGGTGACCAAACTCATGTAATATAGCAACATTCTGAAACAACACCTTAAACAGTAGGAACTGCCTAAGTGCACTAACAAATGAAGACTTCTATTGTACTCTACTTGGAGTTTGCTTCATGACATGGCTCCAGTCTTCCATTGTTGTATCTCCATTTCTCAGGAATAAAATGTAACAAAATTTGTCTTAGTATTTTGTCAAGATTGCCTCATTACTTGGGTCAAAGTGAATTCTATCTGTATGCTCGGAATCCCTGGTTTCAGATCTGAACCTGTAACAGAAGTGTGTAGAGGAAAGTCCATTACTGTTGGCAGCAGTTCAAAGTCTCCAACAATTAAATAGACAAGTAAATAAAAAAATTTCTATTAAATAAGAAAAAGTAGGGTTGTCAAAAAATAAAAGAAACAAGGGGGTTGAGTTCAACCATAATAATAATTAATAGTTCAATTAATAATTATAAATGTTAATTAATAAAAAATAATAATTCATAAAAATAGTACAAAGATTTCAAACCCTACTTTGCAGAATTTTATGAAGGAGTATTGTTTCCTTTAAAATGACAAATTTTAATGAAAGATTGATAACCAAACTGCTTAGTTTTGGCCTACACAACTGTGGCGAGT